CTCCTGCCAGCCTCCCTGGGACTCCCCCCTCCTGCCGTGGGACGGCTTGGGTGGCACTGTTGGAAACAGGAAGCAACCTTCTCCCACTCAAAAATGGGAGAGTTCTGGGCACATACCCCCTTCCATTTGTTCCTTTCTTGGAAAATCCTGAGGCTCAGCCCCAGAGGCCCCAGATTCCCAATCCACCCCAACTCAGCCTCGACCAGGGCCTGAGCCAGGCCAACCACAGCCTGAGCCAGGCCAACCACAGTGCCAGTTCTAAGCCCCTGGTTGCTGATCGGTCTCCCCATCCAGCACCTTCTCCAGCCCCCAGCCTCCTTGGCAAGGCACTCACTCCCTGCTGTCTCCCACCAGCCCCTCCGTGGTGGTCCAACCTTACCCCCTCTGCCTGGGGCTCCTGGGTCCAGCTCCAGGCTCCTCTAGGACCAGGTCTGCCCTCTGAGCCTGCTGGCCACCTGGGAGGAGGACAGAGGAAGAGACTGGCCACTGGGATTTGCCGAGGGCCTACTATGTGCCCACGGCTTAACACTCGTCATAGGCAACAAAGCTAAGTTTGTGCTGCTCTTAAGAAAGGCCTGAGCTTTGGGTCAACCTAGGAATCGGTGCCTGCGCTGACTCGAACAATCTCATCACCTGTAAAATGGGTCACACTAATACTATCACACAGGGTCACCGGAAGGATTTGCCGGGGTCCTCAGGGCCACCGTCCCGAGGAGTTTCTCCCCTCTCCCTGCAAGTAAGAATGTCACTGCCTCACAGCGACAGGGAGGTCAGCCGCCCTGCATGGGACCCAGCAGGGCCAGCCTCCAGGTCACTGCACCTCCGTGGGTGTGTGAGAGGGAGGTTTCGGTCCCTGCACATCCCGGCTGAGGTCCCTTCACAGCCCGCCTCACACACCATCGAGTGTTTGTGGGGAAAAATATGAGCCCCATTTCTAATCAGAGTTCCATCCTACTTTCTAATCATATCACCTCGTTTCCTAAAACCCTCCCGTGCCTTCACACCACCCTGCAGGTGCAGTCCCCGCCTCCTCTGGTCCTGGGCCTGCGCCCTGGACCCTGCCACAAGCAGCTGCATCCAGGCTCTAGGAGGGCTCCACACTTTCCTCCTCAGGGCCCTCGCACACACCGTTCCCTCCACTTGACACACTCTTCCCCAGCCGCCCTTTACCTCCCTAACTCCCAAAGTGCCTTCAGATTCGGGCTCCAGGAAGCCTCCTCCACCTCCCCACAGCTGGGGAAGACCCTCTGTTGTATGCCCCTGTGGCACACCCCAAGTCCTAAGCCCGCTACCACAGCTGGGCCTCCTGTGAGGCTTTCTGTCCAATGTCTGTCTGCCCCTCTAGGCTGGGAGCACCACGAGGCCAGAAGCCACTGGGCGTTTTCTATTTCATCCTGAATGCCTTGTGCATGCTTTGGCCTCTGGCAATGCTCAGTAAATGGGGAAGGGAGGAAAGAACAAGGGGAGGGTGACTTCACTGTCCCCTGCGCCCCCAGTCATGTGCCCCTTTTCAGCCGCCCCCTCCCTCCACACACCGCTCACCTTCCAGACTTCCCCTGCAGGGGCAGCCCTCAGGCCCCCTGCTAAGCGACCTCTGCTGTCTCCTCCAGGGAGCACTCCAGGGCTGGCCACAACCATGCCAAGCCCCCCCCCACCCCGTCTGGGTGCCCTCAGTACCAACACTTGTGAGGAGGGTGCTGTTGCCCTGTTTACTATTGAGGAAGCTGAGGTCGGAGGGCAAAGGAGTCTGTCCAAGGCAAGGGGGCCGGGAGTGTCTCACACCAGGACTGTTGGCCCCCAAATTGCTAACCCCTCCGCTGTCACCTCCCCATGGGATAGCTCCTGGGAGCTCGGAGCCTGATGCTTGGTCTCTGCCAGGCCAGACAGGCGCCCCCCGGGCATGCCTTTCTCTCGTCTGACTTCATCAAAGAAGTAGTGACAGCTCCCGGGCCCTGAGTGACACCATGCGTCCCTTGGGAGATTCTCCTTGTGGACTGCTCGTTTCAGGATCATCTCTCCATTCAACAGATGAGGAACTAAGGCCCACAGGGAGAAGGGATGGCTTGTCCAGGCTCACACAGCAAGAAACACACCGAGGCTGGGACGTCAGCCCCGGAGCACAGGGGCTTGTGCCGTTTCTGGGCTCGTTCTACTCCTGGTGTCTGGACGAGGGCCTGGCGTGGGTGCTGGACAATCCCTGGCCGCAGGACGAAGTGGTGGAGGTGGCTGGCTGTCCCCGGAAGCTGGCAGGCTCAGGCTACCCTCCGCGCCTCGCCTCCCTGAGCTGCGGCACACCCATGTGCTGGCATCGCTCCAAGCAGAGGCAGGGCTGTCCTTGTCTTGCCTCCTGGTGGAGCTGGGGGGTCGGTACCTGCCAACGTGATGCAGGTGGGCCAGCGCCACGGTGCACACTCTGGTCTCCCAGCGGGTAACAGGTGCCCCGGGTGGCACAGCCACTGGAGACCAGGTGACCACAGTGTCCTGAGGGACACTGGCCCCAGATGGGAACAAGGGAGGTGCTCAGTCACTGACAGGTTTGGATGTGTCCCTGAGTCTGGGAAACCACCCCCTAGAAGGCAGCAATGATGCCAACCCCACTCTGGGTGCCAAGTGTGAGCAGGCTCCAAGCTGGGTGCCCCCCACCCACCTCATTGACACTGCAGTGCCTGAGAGGTGGCACCAGAATCTTTTGCCTTGGATGTAGGTGGGGGACCCAGAGGGTGAAGGGCCCCCACCAAGTTACCAGGCAGCTGAGGCACAGTGCTGGAACCCAGGATGGCCCCAGAACTGAGGAGCAAGAACAAGGACACCAAGGCCACCACGTGGGTCAGAGACAGAGGTGAAAGATCGGTTGAGTCAGGGCTCTCACATTGCATGGAACAGAAATGGGCTCAGCCACGTATGTCTCACTTCGGCATGAGGGTTTCCTGGGTATCACAAATGGCCAAGGCAGGGAGTGTAGCCAGAGAGGGACGCCAGAGAGTGACCCCCTGTGGAGGATGAAAAGTGGCCGCCAATTCTTCATTGCTCTCTCCCCGTGGAGAAGTGGAGTGTACCTCCCCACCGCTTGCATTTGGGTTGGCCTGAAACTGCTTTCATCAAGAAAATGCAGCAAAAGTCATGCCATGCCAATGTGGGGCCCCAGACCTAAAAAGCTTTCAGAAGCCCTGGGCTGCCAGGTAAGAAGTTTGGTTCCCCCGCCAGAGAGCCCCTGGGGACATACGCGGATAGAGAAGTAAAGAGAGGCCCGGCCTTGCAGCCCCATCTCCCCCGGCAACGGTCACATCAGGGGGTTCTGGCGCAGGTGAGCGGGCCATGCTGGAGGCTCCAGCCTAGTTGAGATCCACACTGGTGTGACCCCCGCCAACTCCACATGGAGCAGAAGAACCACCCCACAGAGCCCAGCCAATGCACAGAATCATGCCAGTAACAGGTGGTTGTTTTGAGCCACTGAGTTTTGGTGTGTGCGGGGGTGTGATTCCGCCTGCTTAAACTGCCTCTAAGGAAGACCTCTCAGGATGGTCTGAGTCTCTCATACAAGCCTTTTACGGGCTCTCAAGTGGAATTTAGTAGTAACACTAAAAATGCCCCATGACACAGGAATGAGTTCAGCAAACCACCCAAGTTCCCACTCTGGGAGACAAGGGATTGAGATTGCGGGGGGCACTGCTCCAGAGGGGCCTGCCTGGGTGAGGCCAGCAGACCCCAGGTAGGGCTGGGGGGACCTGGGGGTCAGGACACTTTCTCATATGCCATCCCTGAGGTGGGGGGCTGCCGCCTTCTGTGCTGGAATGGAGGCGAAGCTGCTGACGCCCAAGGAGGGAACAGAGAGGACTCCAACATGGGTGTGGGGCTGGGGCGGGGGCGCCCGGGGCCAGGGCCAGTGCAGCTGGCACCCTCCTAGCGTCTCTAACTCACACACGTATACTCAGCCCATAGGCTCCTGTTACCTAAACCCACTCTTTTTCCCCAGCGAGGGTGAGGGTGACAGGGCTCTCTACTCGACTGTAAGTCGCTTAAGGGCAGGGACTGTGTCTGTCTCGTAGGTGACCATCTTCTCACTGCCTGCCATGGGCCTGTGCTCTGTGTTTGTCATCTGCATGCATGCATGCATGAAGGAATGAATGCATGAATCAGCCTATCTGCTGTCATGGCTCTTCTTTTTCTTTGATGTCTTGCAGTCCTAGATACAAGTCCTATCTCTCCAGCTGATGTTCTGCTGAGCAAGTCATCTGAACACCCAGACACAGCTTCCCATGTGTATAATGGGGGCAACTCAAGTCCGCTATGGGCAGGGCTGCTGGAGAAGGAAGGGAGAGCCTGTAAGGACAGGACAACTGCACGCTGGCTTTGGGGTAGCGGCCTTCACCACTGTTCCCACCACCGTTGCCACCCTGCAGGGGCTCCCTGCACCCGCCGCCCTCACCAGGCCTTCATCCGGCTCCCCGAATGACCACACTGCCTCTGGCCCCATTCAGGGCTTAAGTTAAATCATATTTAATTGTTTTTCAGAAGGGAATAGAAAAATCAGGAAAGAGATTCACAGCACTCGCAGTCAAGAAAGGGTTAACTAAAAAAAATAGGAATATATTAAGCTTTCGATTGAAAAAATGCAAACGCAGTCCCTCTCACACTCACCCCTGTGTTCTCACTCACACACACGCATCCCTGCTCCAGATACACGCCCGCCCTCAGGCATGCACACACGCACATGCATGCTCCCAAACACTGCCATGCTCCTGACACACGTGCACATGCCCATGCACGCGCACACACACTCTCACTCCCAGACACCGCCAGGCGCCTAGCACACTCACACACGCACCCAGCAGGGCTGGCAGGATGGTGGGGGAGACCTGGTGCCCTCAAGGCCTGCCCCTCCCGCCCTCACTGAAATGGCAAAGCCAGACTACACTTGGGGCTCTAGGGGACACACACAGGACTTGGAGGGCTGTGCTTGCGGTGGGGAGACAGAGAGGCCGTGGCGGGGACAGGCAGCCTCAGACGACTCTGTTCTCCAGGACGGCCAGCCGCTTACTCACAGCTTCCAGTGGACTCGGGGTTAAGGACAGGCGCAGGCTGACCAGAGCAGGGCGGTGATGGCTGTCCCGCTGCACTTGGGACCCCACTTCCTGTGTCCCCCACCTCCCAAGAGCCTCTCTTCCAGGGGGTTCTCTCACCCCGTCTACAGCATGCGTCCTCCCGTGTCACTGCCCTCAGAATGGTGCCTTCCCCAAAATGCACTAGTTACAGTGTGCCCTGAAGGCCCAGCCCTGCCCAGTGGCAGCTTCAGGCCTGCTGGGTCCCCAACCTGGACCCCCACCCCGTCCTGACAGAGCCAGGGGAGCTGTTCCAGGCCCAGCCTCATCTGAGAAGAGGCTGGTAGTCTTCGTGTCACTGAGAGCCTGAGAAATGGGGAGGCCACAGGCTCCATGTTTTCCTGAGCACGGCTAAGACTCTGGATATGTGTCCAGTCTCTAGATCTTGGCTTCTGCCTCAGTTTCTCTGTTTACCCTCTAGGAGCCTCTGCTTTTGACAGAATCAGTACCAAAGCCGGTGCCAGCCCATCTGTCCAGAGTCCAGCCCATCTCCAGCAGGAGGCAGAGTCCCTGCCTGGGACCCCACACACAAGGGGCATGGCTCCCTCTCCCCGCCCTGCAGTGTCCTGCCCCCCCCCCCACTCCCCACCCCTCAGTGGCCTCTGGGAAAGGATATGCTTCCTGGTCAGGGCCTGCAGCAGCCTCTCCACTTTGGTCTGGAATTTCACAATGGATTCGCAGGCACACGGGTCTTCCTCTGGAGCGGGCAGGAAGTAGGGAAAGAGAAAGGGAAGGTGAGTGGTGGTGTGGCAGGCGGAGTGAGGAGCGGTCACAACCCAGGGCCAGGACTAGGGAGTCTTGGGGGAGTGCAGGGGGCCTGGGAGAGCTGAGAAGACAGAGACACGTGTAGGGTTCTGAGGCAGAACTCCCAGGAATCACAGACGGGGAGACTCTGAATGTCTTCCCAACCCCACAGAGCCCTCATAAAACCTCCAATACCAGCATCTCCGTGCTGGTCCCCTACTGCATGCAGGGAACTGCTGCTAGGGGCCTCGAGGTCATCTTGGTGGCTTCATCCAACACTCTGGGTTGGAAGTCATTAATCATCCCATTTTACAAATAAAGAACCCGAGCAGTGAAACAATCGGATCCTGGCCCACAGCCAGTTACTGCCAGAGGAAACACACAAACGCAGGCATGTCTGACTCTGGAATCCATACTCTCTACCACTGGGAGGATTGGGGGAGGCAGCAAGGTTCAAATCCTGGTGCTTCCGGTTATTAACGATTGTTCCACCCCTCTGGGCTTGGTTTTCCTGTCTGTAAAATGAGAATAATAATATTTCTACCAATTAGGATTGAATGATTTAATATTTGGAGAGTACTAACAACAGTGCCATTCATGTAATAAGCATTCAGCCTATGTTTGCTGGTTGCAAAAGTGAGACTGGCCAGCCCTCCTCCTGCTTCTGCCAACTCTTGTTGCCACCCCAGCTCCTGCTTCTCCTCACCCACATCCAGTTCCAGAATGGCTCCCCAGTCTCCCCCAGAGCCCCATCCGCCCTTCCCATCGATGCCACCCCTGGCCTCACTAACCCACGCAGATCTTCTTCTGCAACCTCTTGCCAATCTGGTTGATGGTCTTGAAGTCAGCCGTGTAGAAGTAATGCTCTGCCACGGGCTCTGAGGCGATTTCCCTCAGCTCATCCTCCACGGCATTGCCCACACCCACAGCAAACATCTTAAAGCCTGCCAAGAGGAACAAGATGAGTGACAGCGGCCATGGGGACAGGCAGCCGCAGCTGAGCTTCCTGGGCAATGCCCAGGCGATCAACACCAGACACCTCCTGGTGGCAACTTCTGGAATTACAGGCACAGTGCCTGGGACAAAGACATTGAGGAAACCAACATTCACTGAGGTTCTACCCTATGTCAGACCTGTACCGATTCTCTGGACCGGGAGCTTCGTAACCTCATATACCCCATGATCATCCATCTGGTGGTTATTATTATCCTCATTAAATAGGTGTTAAAATAGAGACTCCGGCTTGTCCCAAAGTGGGGCTGCCTTCCAACAGTTGGTGTGTTCTGGGGAAAATTCAACTGGAAAATCTCCAAGCCCCACCTACAAAAGGACCATTGAAACAAGCTGCCTACTTTTCTAGGGCCTCTGTTTTCTCATTCCAGATAAGAAAGAGTTGGACAAACCCATCCCTCCTTATTCACATTGAACTTGGGTTTAGGGCACTAGTAACAGACAACCTATAGTCGAGCTGTTCCCTAGGTACTCCTGGCCATCAGTGGCGTTCAGGATCCAGGCATCACCTACCAAGTTCCTTGGCTTTCTTGGCAGCATCATTAATGTAGTCCTGGCTCCGGCCATCAGTGAAGACAATGCCCACCTTCTGGGCCCCAGGCCTAGCCCCACTGGACACAGTGAAGGAATTGTCAATGAGGTACTTGAGGGCAGCCCCAGTCATGGTGCCCTTCTCCATATATGACATGTTCCGCACAGCCGCCTTAATGTCCTTCTTCGTGTGGAAGCGGCCCAGCGGGAACTCCTGGCGCACAGAGCTTGAGTACTGCACTAGCCCCACCTGCGCCAGCTTGTCGGACACGTCCAGCGTGTCCACGATCTGATTGATGAACTTCTTCACCAGCTCAAAGTTCTCCGGCCGCACACTTTTGGATCCATCAATGAGGAAGACCAAGTCAGTGGCCGAACTGCCACTGCTGCTGCTGCAGGCTAGGAAGGGTAGCAAGGCGAGGAGGTAAAGCTTAGGGACCAGTCGTTCACCCTGACCACTAGTCAGGAACCATCACACACCAAGCTCTGTACTAAGGATTATCCCAGCCCATTTTGTCCTCAAAACTCCCTCTAAAAAGCCAAGGTTCCTGGCCTTGTTCTGTAGCGTTGGAAACTGAAGCTCCAAAGCCATTAAATCGTACAATTCAGAAGGAGTGGCACCAAGAGTTGAACTCAAGACTGTGTAACTCCTTCCACCATACTAAACCCACCACCCACCATGACAAAGAGGGACAGAAGTCAGAAGGTAACTTTCTGCAGACACCAAGTTCTAGGAGGCATCTATCACCTTTGCAGATTGGGCCAGAAGCAAAGTGCAGAGAGGCCCGAATGGGCTTCCTAGAGAGTGGCCAAGCCGCGCCCCTCCCCACCCTCCCCAGGGCTTGCCTGTGTGCAGCCCACTGACCATTGCAGGTCTTGCCATCACTGTTCAAGGTGAAGCCCTCCCGACAGGCGCAGGTGTAGGAGCCCGGGGAGCTGAGGCACACCTGCTCACAATCATGGTCTCCTGTGGCACACAGGTCTGACACCACTGTGGGGACAAGAAGACACTCAGAATCTCACTGTCACAGGGCCTTGGATATCTCAGCCAGGGTGGCCCTTCAAACACTCAGGGAGACTGAGGCCGCCGACTGGGTGAGTTCTGAGCCCCAGACCCTCAGCCCAGGGCCGGAATCACTGGCCCGTCCCATGCTGACTCTCTCAGCCCCGCCTCCCGCCCTATTCAGCCCCGCCCCGTCGCTGACTCAGCCCCGGACCTGTCCATCCCCGTCCGGCACCGCCCTGGCCCGCCCTCCATGCAGACTCAGTCCCGCCCTGTCCAGCCCCGCCCCGATCGACTCTAGCCACGCCCTCACCCCCCTCTCCTTGCCCTTGCGACGCTCAGTCGACCCTGTCCATCTCCGTCCGGCCCCGCCCCGGTCCGCCCTCCATGCAGACTCAGTCCCGCCCCGTCCAGCCCTCCTGCCCAGCCCCGCCCCGATAGACTCTCTAGCCACGCCCCCACCCCCTCCCTGCCCCCTGCCCTGGCCCCACCCCGTCGCTCAGCCTCGGCCCTATCCATCCCTGTCCACCGGCCCCGGTCCCACCCCCGATGCGGACTCAGACCCGCCCCGATGCTCTCAATCACGCCACGCCCCGTCCAGCCACGCCCCCCGCTGCGGCCCCGCGCGGACACCAGCACCCCCCACGCTCCCCCAAAGAGCCCCAGCCTTGTCCACCCCCTGCCCCTCCCGGCGCACCGCAGAAGGCCTCCTGGAACTTCTTGGACAGCTTCTCGATGACGCTGTAGCTCTCCACGTAGTCGACGTGCTCTTCCTGCGGCTCACTGGCGATCTGCCGCAGCGTGGCCTTGTCCACGCGGCCCACGCCGATGGCGAACAGCTCGATGCCGCTGGCCCGGGCCTGTGCAGATACGTCCCGCACGCTGTCCTGGGGCCTCCCGTCCGTCACCACGATGGCCACCTGAGACACGCGGGGCGCGTGTGAGGACCAAGTCTCCCTCCCGCGCTGGGCTGGGCCGCTCAGCCCTCCAGTAAGCCCCCGGGGCCACTGGCAGAAGAGGACCCTGAGGCCCGAGAGGCAGAGTGGCTTGCGCAGGTCACACAGCTAGTCCACGGCAGGTGGATCTGATTCCCCGCCAGGGTTTTGCCCCAGGGAGGAGAACCTGACTAGCAGAAGAGGAGACAGGTTTCCTCTGACTGAAAGACATGGCTGAGGTGCTCTCCTGACTAGCGCCTGTGGGTGTCACCCCACTCGGGCAGGCAGCTCTGTGATGATCTGAGGGCAGGACCATGTCTCCCTCCTCAGACTGGGGCCTCTGAGGACAGGTCCCAGCAAGTGTGCCCGACATCATGCAGTTCTGCCCTTTGGCCAGCAGAGGGCGGGCGAGGCTAAAGAACGGCGGTTCTGCCTCCAGTCTGGCCATTCTCCCCTCCAGGCCCGGGTGGCGCGGGGGAGGCGCGGGGGGGGACTTCCCGCTTAGATGGCTTCCTCTTCTCCCTCCGTTCCCCAGGGTGCTACATGCCCTTTCTGTAGGGGAAAACACTGTCTGCTCCCCTCCCACAAGGCTCCCCTGTTTGTGCACTGGGAAGGGAGACAGAGGGGACCCTGGTGCTGGGCCTATCCCTCACCACCCCAACCTGAGCTGAGCCTGCCGTGAAGCCGGGGTCCTCACGCTTCTCTGCTTCTGACCTGGGTCTGCTTCTGATTCCTGCGTCCCCACCTTCGGACCCCGGTCCCCAAACCCCTGTCTTAGTGACCTGTAGTATGGTGGTTGGAAATGCAGCTCACCCTCCTGAGTCATCTAATGAAATGATTCATGGTCCGAGGCCAGGAACGGGAAAGATTATTTTTCATATCACTGCTGGGGACCCCCTGGGGAGTGATTTTGCACCATCCCTTCCCCACCAGAGGCCGAGGTTCACCTAGCTGAGGCTGTCCGCTGCCACAGGCTGCCGCGTTCAAGACCCACTGCCTTCCGCAGCCCTGACTGTCCCCCTTCAATCCAGCCTTGGGACTTTGAACCCACCTTGAAGGGGCCTCCCACAGGTGGATTCCAGGCTGGATGCCCCAGGTCTGGGGGAGTTGGCACTCTCTGTCCTCATGTGCCCACCCCAAGCCACTGGCCTGATGTGGACGGACACAAGTAACTGGAGGTGTGACAGCTACGGACGTCACCACCATCCCCTTCACCACCTCTCTCTATTAGGATCACATCGGGTCACCACAGCCTCTCAACGACCTCACGTCAGAACTTGTAAAGGGCCCCCACAAAGGACAACCAACAGGCTGCCTAACAGGCCATTTCTTTGAGGGCTGTAATGGCCGGGATTATGTGCTATTATCTCTAGATGTCCCTACCACTTACTAACTGGGCAAGACACTTAAGCCTCTTGTGCCTCAGTTTCCTCATCTGTAAAATGAGGATACCACCTCCAAGCAAGATTCATTCATTCGGCACTCATGTGTGGAGCACGTCCTGCATGGGGGTAAGAAAATATGTCCCCGGGGCGAAGGCCCTGGGCAGGTAAAGAGTGACTCCTTGGGGCCGTTGAGGGCTATGAAGGGGAAGTGTGGGTGTCTGTGGGCAGACCACCGCAGAAGAGAACACCTGACCGGCCTCGCAGGCCCTGGGCTGAGTCCTGGGAAATCCCACTGTGGGGACCAGGTCTGTGAAGTCCTCGGCACCCGGCCTGGAGCCCGTACTGACGTTGGCTTGTGATGCATCATCTCATTTTTCTGAACCCCTGCCCTCAGAGGCTGAATAAATAAAATCTGAGCTAACCCTTCCGTGGGGCTTGGTGGTGCCAGGCACTGTTCTGAGCACTCTATGCTATGGACTCACAGAGTCCTCCCAACAGCCCCTCGAGAAAGTTAGGTTACTGTGGTTTTATGGGTGAAGGGACTGAGACAAGGAGCTGCATGCGCTGCTCAGGGTGACACAGCCAGTCCGGGGAGTGGGGGGCATCTGGACTGCCTCACTTGGCCTCAGGAAGCCAAGGTCCACCAAACTGAAATAATCGAGCTCTCACCAGACTGAGGTCCTGCAATCAGAGGGTGGATAAAGATGGGTTCACATCCCAGCTCTGCCACTTGGCTTCATTGGGTCTAAGACACAACTGTGAGCCGGTTTAGAGAATCCTGCAGGTGGTTCACTGCAGGACGCCAGCGGGGAAGGGTGGGACACGTACCTTGCTGATGTCGGGGGACCTGGAATGACTCCCCTCGGTGTCACTGAAGGCTTTGGTGATGGCGAACTGGATGGCCAGGCCGGTCATGGTCCCCGTGGACAGCGGCTGGATGCGGCGCACGGCCCGGAGCAGCGAGGCCTTGGAGCCGTGGGCCCGCAGTGGGAACTCCTGCTTCACGGCGCTGGCATAGTTGACCACGCCCACCCGGGTGGCATTGGGCCCCACATCCAGCGACTCAATGACCTGGGACAAGAACACCTTCACCTTCTCGAACTCCACAGGCCGCACGCTGCGCGAGCTGTCCACCACAAACACCAGGTCCGTGGGCCGGGTCCGGCAGAGCTGCCCTGCAAGGGGACAGGAGGGAAAGGGCCAAGAGCAAGGGCAAAGGTCAGGGGCTACTTAGACCGAGACTGGAGGCCTCCGGCAGTGTAGACTGAAGCTGAGCCAGGCCGGGTAGGTCCTTCTGTCAGCATGTGGACACCTGGGCAACCCGCTTGCCAAAGGCCCCCACAGCTCAGCCCTATGGGAAAGACAGAGGCTCAAATCTCAGCCTCGGCTAAAATTAACAAGTCAGGAAATGACAGATGTTGGCGGGGATGCGGAGAAAGGGGAACCCTCCTACACTGTTGGTGGGAATGCAAGCTGGTGCAACCACTCTGGAAAACAGTATGGAGGTTCCTCAAACAGTTGAAAATAGAGCTACCCTACGACCCAGCAGTTGCACTACTGGGTATTTACCCCAAAGATACAAATGTAGGGATCCGAAGGGGTACGTGCACCCCGATGTTTATAGCAGCAATGCCCGCAATAGCCAAACAGTGGAAAGAGCCAAGATGTCCATCGACAGATGAATGGTTAAAGAAGATGTGGTATATATACACAGTGGAATATTATGCAGCCATCAAAAGGAATGAGATCTTGCCATTTGCAACGACGTGGATGGAACTGGAGGGTGTTATGCTGAGCGAAATAAGCCAATCAGAGAAAGACACGTATCATATGACCTCACTGATATGAGGAATTCTTAATCTCAGGAAACAAACTGAGGGTTGCTGGAGTGGTGGGGGTTGGGAGGGATGGGGTGGCTGGGTGATAGACATTGGGGAGGGTATGTGCTATGGTGAGCACTGTGAAGTGTGCAAGACTGTTGAATCACAGATCTGTACCTCTGAAGCAAATAATACATTATATGTTAAAAAGAAGAAGAAGATAGCAGGAGGGGAAGAATGAAGGGGGGGAAATCAGAGGGGGAGACGAACCATGAGAGACAATATGGACTCTGAAAAACGAACTGAGGGTTCTAGAGGGGAGGGGCGTGGGGGGATGGGTTAGCCTGGTGATGGGTATTAAAGAGGGCACGTTCTGCATGGAGCACTGGGTGTTATATGCAAACAATGAATTGTGGAACACTACATCAAAAACTAATGATGTAATGTATGGTGATTAACATAACATAATAAAAAAAATCTCAGCCTCGGGCAACTCACTGCACCTCTCTGAGCTTAGTTTCCTCCTGTGTACCGGGAACTGACAATCCCCTCTTTACAGGACCCACTAGGGCCAAGCAGGAGTGCGTGCAGCGTGCCAGGACAGGGCTGGGCACCAGCCGGTGTCCAGGGGATGGCAAAGGAGACGGCAGCCTTTACAACACACTTCTCGGGCTTTGGCCCAGAGTTCCTACGGCAACATTTCTCCTGGGGGGGGCAGAGGGTACAGCCCCAGTCACCAAAGTGGACCCAGTTTCCCTCAGCCATGAGGAAGCCTGCTGGTTAGTGTCCATGGGCAGGGGAGAGGGGCAGGGATTCCTCATGGCCACCGGGGCAGCCCGACCCGGTGGGTTCCTAAGACACATCCCTACAGAAGCACATCTTTCCAGACACCCCAGGCAAGCAGCACCATGTGCTGGAAAGCGCATGGAGCTGGAATGAAGCAGAGTGGTGTTTGAATCCCGGCTCAGCCCCGCTGTGGCCCTGGATAGCTCACTGCACCTTTAGGAGCCTCAGTTTCTCATCTGTCCTGTGGGGAGAATAAAGCTCACTGCTTGGTACTGTCACTGGCCTGGCCCTGCAGCCGGGCGGGGCTCAGTACAAAGGCCCTTCCCTCTGCATCCCAGAACTGAGCCCAGCTGCTCCTAAATGAGAATGCAAGAAGGCTCAGGAAAGGGAAGGGGTCCTGGGCCGTCCCAGCCCCCCAGCCACAGTGCCCTAGGTACGAGAGTTCCTCAAGGGACCTGAGAAATGGCCTTGCAGCCGCACCCGGGTCCCTACTAGTTAAGCTACAAATGGGTAAAACTGAGGTCCGGTCCCCAGAGGGTGAGGGAATTAGCCACACCATGGAGCAGTGGATCAGGAACCAAGAGAATGCCCTTCTCCAGCCTCAGTTTCCCTATCTGTACAGGATGAGCTGGCCATTCTGGGATTCAGTGCCCAAGGCTGAAGCTCTGGGAGTGGTACAGCAGGTAGGAGCCTACACCCAGGTATGCTGGAAGGGCTGGGGAAAGGGGGATGGAGTCCTGGCCACCCCAGAGCTGCACTCAGCAGAGCGTGGGCTCGGCCCTGGGCTTGGTGCAGCTCCAGCCTCTGTCCTCAGCAACCCACAAGACTGGCCCTGGCAGCATGCGTGGTCCCCAAGGGTGGCCTGGGAGCTGGGGAGCCCCAGGGAAGGCTCTGAGACTGCAGAGACAGGCCCACTCCCGTCCCTCAATGGAACAGACTGAGCGCCACCCCTGCTCTGGCCCTTATGCACGTCACCATTGCTGTCGGTCCCCGTGCCAGCCTGCTGCTGCCCCTGCCTCCCCTACCCCCCGGCCCCGGCCCACCCCAGGATGCCACTTTACCTCTACTCATCTTGGAGCCCAGCCCCCCCATCCCCCACCTCCTGTGGACCCCCTCACCTCTGGCGTGGGGGGCGAGGCCCAGTGTGCACAGGGCCTGGAGCTGCAGCAACAGGCCACATGGCACGAGACTGGCGCCGGAGAGGAGCCTCATGGTTCCGGCAGGGCGGGCAGGAGCCGGCACAGTGCTGGGGGCCAGTGGGGTCCCGGGCTTATCAACCTCGCTGCCCAGCCTCCCAGCCAGGCGGCCCCCACTGACGTGGGGGCGGCTGCCCGGGCCCCTAGCCCCCTTGGGGGGGCGTGGCCCAGGCTGAATGGAGGTGTGTGTGCCCAGAGAGGGAGGGAGCCGCCTGGCCTGGGCTCAAGAGGCCCCTCCGACCACAAGGGCTCCTTTGCCTGCAGAAGCAGCCCGGGCTGCAGCCGGAACTCAGGAAATCTCAGGTGGGTGGAGGGTGGCTCCTCCAGGGGTTGGAGCGGGCCCTGACCCAAAGCTGCCACTCCAAGCCCAGGGAAAGCCCAGCCCAGGGGCCTCAAGCCCCGGTCCTGCCCTGCACCCTCACCCCACACCCCGCCACTTCACTCACCTGCATCCATTTCCTCACCCAGCCCTGACCCTGCGCCACCTCGGCTGTCCCCTACCTCTCCACCTTCTCCCTGCTGGGCACCTTCACCTGGGGTCTCCGAGGTGCCCTCCGGACCTTTGTACAGGCCGGGTCACCCGCCCCCAACGCCCTTCCCTCCCGTTCACTCTCTGCCTAACAGAATCTTTCAAGATCATCGTTGGAAATGACCTGTGGGCTCAGGGCAGTAGAGAGGACAGTCAGGAGCAAACACTTGCAGCCAGATTACCTGGGTTTGCTAAATGCTACCTGTGTGACCATGGGCCAGTCGATTCACCTCTCTGAGCCTACCTTCTAAGGTGGATGAGAGGAGCAGGGTTCTACGAATCTTCTCATTTAATTCCCTTGACAACCCCGTGATGCAGGTACTATTACTACCCCCACTTTCCAGAAAAAGAACTAAAAAAAACAGAGAGATGAAGTAACTTGTCTGAAGTCACACCCTAAGAAGTACCATTGCCAGGGTCACCTGGGTGGCTCAGTCTGTTAAGTGTCCGACACTTGGTTTCGGCTCAGGTCATGATGTCAGGGTTGTGGGATCGAGTCCTGAGATTGGGGGGGGCGGGGAAATCCGTGCTCAGTGGGGGGTCTGCTTGAGATTCTCTCTGTTGCTCTCACCCTGCCCTTCCTCCCCATGCCCCCTCACACGTGTGCACGTATGCTATTTCTCTCTCTGAAATAAATAAATAAATCTTTTTTTTTTAAAGTATCATTGCCAGAACAGGGCCCCAGGTCAGTGCTATCGGCCACCCTGCTTGCTTGGGTGGAGCTTGGTGGAGCTACCTTCTCCATGCCCACCTCTCCCCTACTCCTCCAGGATTAGGACCCCCTTCCCGTGCTTCCATCACTGTGTGTCTCACCCAGGAGCTGGTAAGAGTCTGATTGATTCATTCCTGCATCTGGGCCCAGCCCAGGGTCTGCACTGGAAGGCAAAAATAAAGGCTTATAAATAAAGGAACATCACCAGGAATGGCCCCTGCTGCTGCAAGGAAGTCCAGTAATATGGAAAGAGCATGGGCTTGGCCAACTGAGAGACCCAGGTTCGGATCTCCATCTGTGGCTGAACAGCTCTGTGACCTAGAGCTGCTAACTTAACCTCTCTGAGCCTCGGCTTGTTATCATGCAGTGGGAATGGTAGTTCTTGCCTTGCCTGCCTCACTGGGACCATGTGAGGAGGCAGTGAGAAGACAGAAGGGGAGATGAGGGTCAAAGGATTATCATCTTTCCAGGGACAGGATCATTAACATTTAAGACCTGTGTGCCTCACCCTGTATGAGTTATGCCTCAAAAAGAAATGTACAGACTTTTTTTTAAGTGACCCAACCAATAGTCTCACAATCTTTAGTGACAATGGCAACCACGCTCTATTACTGTGTCTCCTTGTTCTCCAAACAAACCTGTGAGGTCAGCAGCTCTAAGGGCTTCAGCCCATTTGTCAGATGGGACAACTGAGGCCCAGAGAAGTCCATGACTTGCCTGAAGCCACCAGCCAGTTAGGGGCGGAGCCCAGCCTGGAACTCAGTCCTCATCCCTCTTTGCCCCCGGTTTAGAGAACAGGGAAGCAAAGAGCATTTCCCTCTGACATTTCCCACGTAGATTTCATTTACTCATATCATTCATAGCCGTCCCCAGCTCCAAACGCTAGTCAGGGCTGCCGGTCCCTTATCCCTCTACAACTTTTAAGTATAATTCTTTTCTCCAAAGACACTGTAGGGCATAATGACTGCAGTGCCTCTCACTTCCCAAAATTGGGTCATAAATGTGTTAGCTGCCCCCCACTGGCCATCAGCTCCCTCCGAGTGGGGGTAAGGGGGGGGGTCTGGCCCGACTCAGCTGCCACTGACCCTCAGGACCCGGCATGACGCGGGAACAGGGTATCTGGTCAGCAAACGAAGAAATGCATTAAAAGAAGCAACAGGTGACAAACGGGTTCCATTTCCTTGGGAACCGACCAGGGTCAGGCTGGGGTCTGCAGCGGTGGTCGCAGCCCGCTGGAGCTGCACGAGAAGAACGTGATCCGCAGCCTCCTGGCCCCGAGTCCTCTCCCCGATGCACGGGGCCACGGCCGGAGCTCGGGGTACACGGCTCTCTTGGCCGGGCCGGCAGCTGGGCCCATGAAACAGCTCTTTCAGCCCCGAGTCTGAATGGCCGTTCTATGGGCTCCTCCAAGGAACACAGGCGCCTTTTCTGTGTCACCCGTCCGCTCATTAGCAGGGCCACAGAAATGGGCCACAGGTAAGTTTTCAGGAGCAGAGATAGGCTCCCCCCGCAAAAAGGGGCAGCTTTCACATTCCACAGCGGAGCAAGGTTTTAGGGGGAGGAAGTTCAGCCTATACATTGAGGCAAGAAAATAAATATTTGTGTTTTCAAAATGTGAAGCATTTTTCCCCCCAGGAATGAAAATCAGGAACACTGTGTCCGGTATGAACCAGAGAAAAAAAAGGCTCGCAAGTCAGAGGGGCAGCCGTGAAGGGCTCCCGCTGTTCCCTCTCCTTGTTTTCACACACCTTGGGTTTCCAGAAACTTAAAGCCTTTAGTGTTTTGTCCGAGAGAGCGCCTTGGCGCTAAAGCAAGGGGCCCCGGGCAGGCGTGCCTCCGTGGCAAGGGCGCAGGACTCCCCTCCCCTGCCCCCAGGACTCCACTCTTTTCCTGAAGAGCAAACCTGGTTATTGCACGCTCCTCCTCCCTCCTTCCCCCACCAACCCCGCAGTTTGGCTGGATCCACACATACCTTTACTCTTATTTATTTACTCTGTCTCTTTAATTAACTCTAAACCAACCAACTCACTTGGTGAAAAACACTCTCCTCCTCCTCCTCCTAAGAAGTAACAGCCATGAAATCTCTGGGTTGCTGTACCATTTATAAAGGTATTCTTACGTGCCTTCAGATACATTCGAAACTAATTAAATTTGACTTCTGCATCCGCACATCACCGAAAATTACCTCGTGTTCTGCCAGTGGCATGCATGCCAGACTTTGAGGAATCCTGTGAAGCACAAAGCTCCGGAATCAGACACAGCCCGGGTGTGAGTCCCTGTTGCTTCACCCGCCAGCTGCGCGTAACTTCAGGTGAACCCCCTCACCGTTCTCTCTTCTGCTTCAGGTCTGCAAAGTTGGGACCTTAGTGCCCACATCACAGGATGGTTGAGAATGACATGGATGAACGCCGCATCCACGTTTCTTATTTCCGCCTTGCCTTCTTGTATCGGTCAGAAGAGAAGAGGCTAAGCTGCGGTAACAAGTAAGCCCTTGGATGGCAGTGGCTTAGCACAAGGGTGTGTTTCTCTCTCATGACACAGCCCAGTGCCAGACATGGGGCCCCCTGCGCAGGCTCGTCCCAAAGCCACCTCCATCTGACTAGCCCATCATTTCCAAGTCCTTTGTCTCTGGCCGCATGAACATGACAGAGACAGCAAGCGTCCCTCTTCATGCCCTCCGATAAGGAGTACACATCACCTGGCTCTGCCTAGAAGCCCAGGGGTTGGACATGGGTATTTAGTGTCACCCTTCCCAAGTGGAAAAAAAAAAAAAAAAGCTTCTGTTGGCCCTACCTCACTTCTGGGTGAAAATTCAGATTCAACTGGGCATTCAAGCCTTCTCACAATCCGTTTCTTGCCACCTTTTCCAGACCATTCCAGTCTCCCTCCCGTCCCCTCTCTGTCTCCCCAACTCTGACCCCTCTTTTCTGTGGCACTGAGGAAAGCATAATTTTTCCTTCACTGCAGCAAATTCCACTTCAGGTTTTACTGACTGGTGTTCGTGGCTCTTGCCCCATGAGCTCATGGGGGCCTCCCAGGTAGAGCCTCTGCCTTTTGCACTAGCACATTATCCCAGTCTGTGCTCAATAAATGGTAACTCGTTTTGCTATGGGGGAAACCTAAAACCTTGACTCTCGGGCTCTGAAGGAAACCCAGAGGTCATCTAGAGCAGTGGATCCAGCCTGGCCACTGCCAGACTCACTTGGAGACGCCTGTCAAAAAGAGAGTCCCCCCCCATGTTGGTGCCTTCTTGGGGCCAGAGGGTCCGCCCCCACCCCTAGGGGCAGCTGTGGAGCTTTCCATGGGGAATGGCTCCCACTGTCCAGCACGCTGGCAGAAGGAATGAGCGTTTGGAGGGGAGGCTTAGGTTTAGCACTGGGAACCATGGCAGAGCCAGTTGGTACCTGTCCCACACCCCTCAGCCCACCTGCGTGTGCACCTCCAGCTGCTGCAGACAACCTGGGGAGTGCACATCCCCGGGGCAGCCCTCAGCCAGTGAGAGAGAGGAGCCGAGGACACATAGCTTCCCCGTTCCCCGATGGACAATTCTGGCATGGGCTCCATGCGGTTCCTCGGAGGGTCCCCGGCAGGAAGCAACCCGTTTATCAATGCACCTCTTACTGGCTTGTATCCCCTCCCGGTCTCGCTTCCCCTCTCATTATATTTCCTGGGGCCACCGCCCAAATAAACTACTCGCTTCCAAGTTCTTGTCTCAGGAGCTGCTTTGGGGACTATTTTAAACGAAGCTAAGGCAAAGCTTTCCCAGGTGTGGGAGACCAAGACAAGGACGTGTTTGGGCCCTTCTGGGGAGCGGGGAGA